TTCAAAGAACGGTGCATGATGTACCTGAAATATTAGTCAACATCGAAAGAAATATGCACTGCAAATACCAGGAGAAATAAAAGATTAATAAATATTATTTGTTATCATCAAAATCATAAACTCGGAAGCCCGAGTTGCAACACTATCAGCTTTCCCTCCATGAACACTTTTGTTTCTAGCACGCCAATTTAGATATACAGAATTGCAATACACATTGATAATGAACATGTGTTTGTTAACATTTTTATCCAACCATTCGAAGACTTCATAAAATGTTTGAAAAACAGGAAACCCAAATCACCAAGAGTTAAGCAGATTTAATACCTCCCACAATTTTACAAAGGTGGTTGAAATATGATCCCAGTCCTCCCTTTCATTGCATCCTCTTGGGCAAGAAAAATTATCCTTCATTCTTCTTTGATAGAGAAAATAAAATATAGGTATCATATTATGAAAGATTCTCCACCAAAACACTTCCACTCGAGGGATCAAATTGAGTTTTTTCATCATTTCCCAATGATCACATGACTACTCCACCATCACCAAAGCATTATAAGCTGCAGCAGTAAAGAATATACCTAGCTTAAATTGAATAAGTTCCCTTATATGTTCCTCCTTATCCACATGAATTGGGATCTTACAGATAATACTAATAAGCTCCTCTCCAAATAGTTTATTAAGTTCCTCTACATTCCATTTCCCTTCAATAATAAGCTTATCCAACTTCAGTTCATTGTGTTCAGGATTCTTCATGAATGTTGTCCATTTATTTAGACATTTGTCCAAAACCCAAATGTCATTATAAACATCAATGTCTTTACCTGTTCCAACCCTCCATCTGATGATTTGATTGATGGACTTCAAACCACTATCAATGATCTTAGAAGAAGAGCTGCTTTTATAACCCATCACACCTCCGTTTTGAATACCATACTTTTCTCCCAGCATTTTGAATAAGAATAAATCTTTATCTTGTAGAATTTTCCATGTTAATTTGGCTCTTAAAGGCCAAACCATATCCAAGCTAGAACGAAGACCTCTTCCTCCATAGCTTAATGGTTTGCATAGATTACTCCAACTAACATAATGAAAGCCAAATATACCATCATTTTTGTTCCAAATGAATTTCCTACTGATTTTATCCAACTATATCAATACACTTTTAGGAGCTAAAGCAAGAGTGCAATATAAAATTAGAATTGACATGAAAAAAGTCTTTATAAGGTTGAATTTCCCTGCTAGAGATATAAGTTTAGTTCCCCAAATGTGAACTAATCTCAAAGCTTTCTCAATATTGAAATGAAAGTCTTCCGCCACCATCCTTCTCAACGCCACCTTAAAACCAAGAAAATTAAACTGTTTGACTACCTTGAAGCTCTCAATAGATTTTTTCTTCTTCCACCTCACAAACTTCCCAAAGAGAATGGCCGACTTTAAAGCATTTATTTTTTGACCAGTCTAGTCACAGAAATCAGATAAGTTTTTTTAATTTCTTTAAGAACTTTCATTTTGGCTTCAGAGAAAAATAATATGTCATATTGAAAAAGAATATGCGAAATCCTTTGCCCATTTGGAGTTAACCGAATTCCCAAAGACAAATCATTTTTATTTAGGAAATTAGAAAGTAATTGAAAGCAAAGAATGAATAGATAAGGTGATAGAGGACAACCGTGTCTAAATCCATTCTTTGAACTAATCCATCTAGAAAGCCTTCCATTAATCACCAAAGAAAATCTTGGATCAGCTACACATTCCATGATCCAATCCACAAACAACTAGGGAAATCCAAACATTTCCAAATTTTGCCATAGAGTACTCTAGCACATGCTCTCATATGCTTGCTCCATGTCAATTTTAAAGAGACCATACCTTTGGATGCTTTTGAAACTCTAAACATATGAAAAATTTCTTGTGCAACAAGAACATGATCTTCAAGCGATCTACCATTTAGAAAATGATCTTGTTCAATTGAGACCAAATTATGAATAACAGGCTTCGTTCTATTCAGTAGAATCTTGGCTATTAATTTGTATATAGTCCTACATAGACTAATTGACCTGTACTGATTTGGAGTAGTCGGATTATCTACTTTAGGAATCAGCAGCACAATTAGAGTTTCTTTCCATTAATGATTTATCACACCCGTTTTTAAAAAAATGTTGGGCATTCCAAAGATCATCTTTGATAATATGCCAATAATTCTTAACAAATAAATAAGGTATTCCATCATTACCTGGAGACACATTGCTACTGGTTTGGAACACCACATCCTCCACTTCTTTTATCTCCAGTTTCTTACTCAAACTAAACTTGTATGTGTCCTTCAGAATAGTAGAAATAGACATCCATCCATCTAACTTGCATTGTCTGTCTCTCCATTTTTCCATGAAAGAGCAAAAAAAAAAACCTCCTCTATTTGGTCTTGATGTTCCACTTCCAATCCTTCACTATTCCTATTTTTGTGAATCCAATTCAATTTCCTTCAAGCTGATGCAAAAGAGTGAAAGAATTTGGAGTTTGAGTCTCCTTCAACCAACCTTTTAACTTTTGATCTTTGCTTCCACCAGATATTTAATCGAGCCATAACTAAATTAAGTTCATTCACACTTGATTTGAGACTCCACAAGTCCACTTCTGAAAGCCAACCATCAATTGATTCTTTCAATTGAAGTTCCCATATACTCTTCTTCAATTCCTCCTTAAGAGAATTAAGATCCCTGTGTTTGTCTCTACTCTAGAAAAACAACGATCTTAAAGTTCTCTTAAAATTTTTATTTAAAATTTTAGCACTGTCACCTATAGTTTTTATGCTCCAAACAGACTTAACAATTACTTCCAAAGCAAGGTAAGAAGCCCATACCTCTTCAAACTTGGTAATCTTATCCTATTTGGCCTTTTGATTCAAAAATTTCATGAGAATAGGATACTGATCCGATGCCACTCTAGACAAATGCTTTACCACCATTTGATTGGAGGAATTAAGAGCTTTGATATTCAACAAGCATCTATCTAGCCTTTCAATAATTCGGGCTCCTCCCACCTTATTGATACACCATGTAAATTTAGGACCAACAAATCTTATCTCATGAAAATCATTATTCACAAAGAAAGATTATATCTCCTTTGAAGCTTGATTAAACCAAACTCTCCTACCACCCCTCTTATTATCCTTGGATAACAAACAATTGAAATCCCCACCTACTACCATAGGGAAGTTGATAGAATTAAATTCCTCAAATTTCTCCCAAAGGAATCTCCTTTGAACCGTATCCTTGCTGCCATAAACTATGGCTATCCTCCAACTCTCTTTATGGGCCAACAAAATGTTTCCAATAACAAATTGTGGAGACAAATCAACAATAGAAAATGAAGTGATATTATTTTTCCATAGAATAAGAATTCCATCGGACATACCTTCTGAGGGAATTTGAAAGAAGTATCAAGTATCACTAATCAAATTATTGACTTCCATTCTACTGAATGAGGAAATTTTCTTCTCAAGTAAACCCACAACAAAACTTCATTGTCTTTAACTACTTCTTTTAGATATAGAGAAGCTTGTTTTTTCTGAGCTCCTCTACAATTCCAAAACATCAAAGAAGTCATTGACAATGTATAAGGGAAAGTTTCCCCACCCTTTCACTTCCATCTCCATCTTTCTTTCTACTTCTAGACAAAATCTTGATAGGCCCCAAAGTTAAGTTCTTTGGCCATAACTGACATTCATTCAATTAAATTGATTCCTTTTTTGAAATCTTACATTCTTTTGATTGAAGATCTTCTTCCTCCCATAACTAACATGGATCCACGATCCATAAGAAGAATTGGTTTCTTTAAAGCTGTCTACATCCTTTTCTTTAGAATTTATAGGATTGGAAACACCTTGCAAGCACTTCCTGTCTCCATTATTAGTAGAATTTGTTACTACCCGGTTTGTATCCATCACCATCTCAGGAAATTTATTACTTGAATGACCTATTCTTCGACAACTAATGCAAAGATTAGGAATCCTCTCATATTCAAATTTTTTAAAAAAAACTACCTGATCCTCCTTCCACCCAAGCACCTAGAGTTAGTTTGTTATCCAGTTGAATGTGGACACAAACCCTTATAAATTCCCTTCTCCCCCATTGGAACATATTATTATCTATTAGATAAACTTTTCACACTTTCGAAGCAATTCTACACATATTGATATCATCCCAGCATTGAAGTGGTAAACCAGGCATTCTAATCCATATTGGAGCTATTTGACCCTTTAAAGAATCTAGAGAGAATGAAGGAGACCACTTTTCCAAACCAATAATTTGACCCTTTACATCATGGTCCATTGGATAGAACTAATTCCATTGTTTACTCATCTTCAAAGGCACAAAGCATCCAACCTTTACCAAGCCAAGTAAGATTTAATTTGCCTAAATGCATCCATTGCCTCTTCAGTTCAGAATTTATAACATATGAAGGAATATTTTCCCCAAAAACTTTCACCACTAATGACTTTTGAAGCTTCCTTGTACTTTCTAATACATTTTCCTCAAATAATTTGATAGTTTCACCATCCTCCATTAAGAAATCCCCAATTCCCAGGTTATCAACACTTCTATTGGGTTTCTTAGTCCAAACATTGGACATCCCATTACCTTCAGGCTCCTTTGCGTTAGAACATTCAGCTTTACCGTAATTTTTTTTTTTTGACGAAAGCAAATTAATGCATTAAGAATCAAAAGCAAACTAATTACAAGTAATAAAAGGATCACATTCCTCCTTGATAAGTTTCCATAACAAGGCCTGAATGCTTTCCAAAGAAAACCTATCAAAATAAAATCTATTATCCAATGCCAAGGTAGCACAACAATTAGCTACCTTATTACAATTCCTAGAAACATAATGGAAAATTACCTTATTGAAGTCATTCAACAAGCACGGATCCTTGTATGGCCACCTATCCATGATCCAATTATTCTTCTTCTTCAAAGAGTCTTGAATGAATTTGATAATATTTACATATCACTTTCAACAAGGATTCCTTTGCATTCTAGCATCCAATCACAAAGAAATTCTTTAACCGCAAGCACAGCATCTTGCTCAAGTTGAGCTATATCCCAATGAATTTTCTTCTTCCCAAAAGCACTGATAAATTTGCCCTTGAAGTCCCTAAAAATGCCACCAATCCCAGCTAGATTGGATGTAAGTAAAGAAGCATCCACATTGATTTTAATCCAATCCTTTGGAGGAGGGCACCAAGGATCATGGGACTCCCTAAGGAGATTAGTGCCCCAACTTACAAGAAAAGGATTAGAATTAGAAGTAGCCAAATAAAGAGCATTGGACGCTACCACAAAACACGACAGAGCAGGTTTCTGATGTTTGACTTCATTCCTATTTCTCCAGGACAAATATATAACCGTGCAATATAATCTCACAATACCAGAATTCTGCATAGAGATTGCCTCCAAGCCCTGTAAACAGTTGTCCAAAGAGTGAAAAATCGGTATGTGAATACCCCATTCACGTATTTTCATAATCACCTCAACCATATATTTACAATGAACAATAATATGCTCATAAGATTCAATGGATTTACAACCCCTAGCACAGTTTACAAAATCATATAAGTTTCGGTTCTTCAAAAACAGATTAGTTGGAATAGCTCTCTTGCCAAGCCTCCACCAAAAAATTTCAACTTTTTTGTTCAGTTTTAACTTCATCACCCAATTAGAGAATCCATTTTCCTCTTCATTCAGCCTGTAGGAAGTAATGGATACAAAAGCAAGAGCTGAAACCGTCTTCCCAGAACACCAATTTATCAATTCAATGCTATCCTCCCTCTCCTGATCAAAACTGATTTGAATGATCAGAGAAATCAATTCCTAATGGAATTCCCTTTGTAGCTTTGCATAATTCCATTCCCCATTACTTAAAGGAGCTCATTGATATTAACATTTTCAAGGTAATCACAATCCACAAAGGTAGGCCACAGATTTAAACATTTGTCAAATAACCAAGTATCAAATAAAACACTGATACTATTACCTTTACCAATTCTCCATCTAACCACATTCCTCAACATCTTTCCCCCATCCAACAGTATGTGCCAAGCACTTGAGCAAGTGCTTTTGTGAATTTCATGCATAATATCAACCCCATATTTATGTTTTAGTGTTCTATGCAACAGTGAATCGGGATTCTGAAGAAAATTCCAGGCTAAATTGGATCTAAGAGCTCCAATTCTAAGCAAAGGAGAGTGCAAACCCAAACCACCAAGTCTCCTTGGTTTACAAATATCTTCCCATGCAACATAATGCATTCCTTTAGAGCCATCTTTTTTATTCCACAAAAAATTTCTACATAACTTTTCAAGCTCAAGAAGCACTCTTTTGGGAACTAAAGAATTTGTAATCAAATAATTAAGCATGGAAAGTAAAGAGCTATCAATAAGGATGAGTTTACCTCCCAAAGAAAGAGACTTCTTACTCCAAGCATTAAGTCTATCCATGCATTGCTAATAAGCTCTTGAAAATCTGCTATCTTGGGTCTTCTAAGAGACATCTTCATTCCTAGATACATCATCTCCTTCACCATCTTAATGCCCAACACTTTAGTAATCTTCCTTCTTAAATTTTTTCCCACCATTTTACCGAACATAACTTGAGATTTGCTGAAATTAACTCTTTGACCAGTCCATTTGCAAAAATCCTCCAATATAATCTTCATTGATTTATCCAAAGAAGAAGAAGCATGGGAGAAGATTAACGCATCGTCTGCATACAAAAGATGTGTAATCTTTGGTCCTCCATATGAAATTTGAATACCAAGAGAATGACCTCTTTGATTGATTGCATTAGTCAATAGTTGTGAGCATAAAATAAAAAGGTAAGGTGAGAGTGGCCACCCTTGACGAAACCCACTATAAGCATTAATCCAATTGGAAATATTACCATTAATGAGAATAGAAAACCTCACTTCAGTAACACATTCCAAGAGCAATTTAGATAAGTGAGACGGAAAACCATACCACTTGAGAACTTGATGAAGAGTAGCCTACCCCATACTATCATAGGCTTGCTCCATGTCTAGTTTAATAGCCATAGCACCCTTTTTGTTTTTGGAAACCTTGAACTTATGAAACATTTCTTGATCCAAAAGATAATGTTCAGAAATAGATCTTCCAGGTACAAATGCCATCTGTTCTTCTGATACCAATCTGAAAATAATTTTCTTCAATCTATTTACAAGCATAGAGGCAATAATCTTATAATTCATTTGACAAAGACTAATAGTTCTGAAATTGGCCGGAACCAAAGGATTCTTGACTTTAGAAATCAAGATAATAAGAGTGTCCTTCCATTCTTTACACATTTAATTAAAAAAATTTAATAGGAGGCTTGAGCTATTAAAAATAATGTTATCCTTTAAAGTAATAGGTAAGACCTCAAAATTGAGACCTAACACATGACCCACAAAATAATAGTTATTAAAGTTCTTGAAGGAGAGAAAATTAATAGCATAAAGAGACAAAATCTTATCTTTAACCCTTTAAATAACCTTCTGATGATTCATTCAAATACCATTAAAGAGAGAATTATTCCTCTCTAACTATAATAAACAAAGAATGAGAGAAGGAATAACATTATAGATATGCCATTTAGAATTGATGAACCCAGCCTTAAGCAAAGATTTAAGAGAGAGATGAGCATTAAAATAACATATGTAAATTATCAAAATAAACCCACGTTCGGACAGTAATGGACCAAAAATAAAAACATGATACATAATTTCGATATAGTAATAACATTGACACTTGGAAGTTAACATAAAACCTTTTTTTGGTAAGATTATCATCAGTGGGATTATATCTATGAAGAATTCTCCAAATAATAATAGAGACAGTAGTAGGAATGCTCTTATACCAAATCAAAGAAAAACTATTATCACTATTTCTAAGGGCTCTAAAAGTATGCCATGCCTTCTTTAAACAAAAAGCCACCATCTCTAGAGAAATCACATAAGATAATGTCCTTAGAATCAATATTGATAAGCAAGTTAATAATTTGGTGAAGAATAAAATTAGGAACAACATTAGAAAGCTTCTCGTAATCCTAGCAATTATTTATAAAGAAATAATTAACCTTAACCGATGCAATAGAAGATGAGTTCAAGATATAATCAATAGACTATTTTCCTAACGAACAATCTTGCCAAAAGAAAGCATTACCTTCACCAAGGCCCAAAGAAATGTAGGGCTCAACCTCCTATTTAACATTACAAAGTCTTTGCCACACACTCTAGAATCACCCTGCTTAAAATAACAAGCAGTAGGATGCTTGCCAACATAGTATTTGGAAGACATAAAATTTTCCCAAAGGCTCACTTTAGCACAAAAATTGTACCAAAGTTTAAAAGAGATGGCCAGAGCCTGGTCATTTATATTCTTACAACCTATCCCCCCTTCAACCAGAACACCACAACATTTATCCCAAACAATCCAAGCAATTTTGGAATTAATAGAGGTACCTTTCCAAAAAATTAATAAGTTTATGCACCCAATTACAAACAGCTTTAGTGAGAAGAATAGTTTGAAAGCTATAAATCAGAAGAGAACACAAAACACTTTTAATAAGAGTAATCCTACCACCAAAGCTAAGAAAATTAGAATCTCAAGATAAAAGTTTATTTTGAATAGATGCAATAAGATCATCAAAAAGAAAGGTTTTCCTTCTTCCCATAAAAAGAGGGACACCAAGGTACTTATTTGGTAATTGACCATGACTAAAACTAGTAAAAAATTTTAGGACCAAAATATGATTATTAGAAATGCTCTTAGAAGAAATAAAATAGCTTTTATTTTTACTAAACGATAAACCACTGAGCCTTTCAAATTGATTAAAAAATCTATAAGTTTTTGAATTTTATTGGTAGAAGCATTGGTAAAAACAATAAAGTCATCTGCAAAACATAAATGAGAAATGGGAAAACCACCGAATGTTCTAAAATAAAGAGTAGGATTATTCTCAAAAAGATTGAAAAGTTCTCTAGATAAAAAATAAGCAGCAATGATAAAAAGAGCAGGAGATATAGGATCACCATGCCTTAAGCCATGAGAAGATTTAAAAAAAACCATTAGTAGAACCATTCACAAAAATAGAAAAATAAACACCTTCAATACATTTATTAATAAACATAATTAAAATAGTTCAATAAAGTTCTTAATAAGCTTAATAAAAATAGAATTAAAGCCAAAACACTAAAAAATATGATAAATAAAGGACCAATCAATATTGTCATAAGCTTTGGTAATATCATGCTTTAAAATCAAATTCCCCGCTCTCACTCTGACATCCAAGTCATGGCAGAGCTCTTGAGCCAACAAAATATTATCCATAATTACCCTACCTTTCAGAAAACCCATTTGAGAGGTAGAGATAATTCTAAGTAAAAGAAAAGTAAGACAATTCATGATAATTTTAGATATCAACTAATTTAAAAAGGTGCAAAGACTGATAGGTCTAAAATCATTCCAAATGTTGACAGACTTGTTTTTGGGAATAAGTGCAATAGAAGTAGACATAAAAAATAGATGAATAGAATTACAAGCAAAAAATATATAATAGCATCACAAATTATTATTATTAATAATATGCCAAGTTTTCTGACAAATTGAGTTGTAAACTCATCAGTGTCATCCATCGAATCACAATTCATACCAAATAAAGTATCTTTAACCTCCTTAAAAGAATGGGGTTTAATAAGATTCACATTATCCTCTAGGGAGATAAGATTAGGAATAAAGGAGTGATCATTAATCTAAACCAGGTTAAAAGTTATATTGAGACAACTTTGAAAGTGAAAGACAGCTAAATTTGTAATTTTCTGAATATCCTCAGAGACATAACCATCATCATGTTGGATTTTATTAATACCATTTTTAGAGCATTTCCTCTTAATCAATGAATGAAATACTTAGTATTGTTATCACCCTCTACCAAGTGCTTAGCAGCAGCTTTTTGTTTCAAAAAAACATCTTCCTGAGCTTGAAATTTAAAAAGGTCCTCTTTAGCTTTTTTTAAAAGAGAGAAATTGGCAACAAAATGGTCAACTTGACAAGAAGATTAAAAACACTTAAACAGTTGCTCAACCTCCAAGATATTAGAAAAGCAATTTTTAAAAATGTTACTGTTACACCAATTTAAGACTTTCTTAAGCCTTTTTAGCTTAAACCAAAGCCTCCTCATGCTAAAATAAGAGTTATTCGGATGAAGAGGGGCATGCCAATTATTCTCCACAACCTCAAAATAAGAATCATGAAGTAACCACATGTTTTGAAATATGAACTGAGGAGAGCCATCAAATTGTCAAAAACTAAGACTAATAAGCAAAGGAGAATGGTCAGACAGAGTTCTACTAAGATGATGCACATTAATGGAATTAAAAAATCTAACAAAAGAGTCATTAAAAAGCACATGATCCAAACATTGCCATAACTGACCCCTATTCCAAGTAAATTGATTACCAGAAAAACCAATATCAATGAGATTGTAATCCAAAATCATATTACTGAAATCCTCCATAGACCGATAAGATAGAGAGGAACCATCAACCCTTTCAGAAGGGTTAGTAATAGCATTAAAATCACCACCAACAAGTCAAGAAAAATTACAAATATGATGGAGATTAAGGAGTTGGTCCCAAAGTAATTTCCTAATGTAACAAGAAGAACCAGCATACACGAAGGAAGCACTACAATGCAAATTAAAAACCTCAATTTTATAATGCATAACTTGAGTAAAATCACCAATGACATCACTTTTAACCTGTTCTTTCCAAAAGATCCAAATCTTAGTAGCCACATTCGAAATATCATAATTAAAGCCCAAAAAAATGAGAAATACTAATTAAGCTAAAGGAAGAAATAAGAGGCTCAAGAAAAATAAGAATATAAACATTATGAATGCGACATAAATTCTTCACACAAATTCTCTAAGAAGGACAACCAATCCCGCTTACATTCCAAATAATAGAGTAAAGAATAAATATACAAAATTAATGGGAAGTATGTAAGTGAGTAGTTATAGGTGATTATAATATAAACTACTATTTTTTCCTACCTCTTTTAATATGAACCTTATGAAAACTAGTATCATTATCATCCTTAGGAAAACATTTAGCAAAAAAGCCCATATCTTCATTATCAATAAAAGCATCACTATTATAACAAAACGTTGAAGGAGTCTTACTACGTAGGTCCACATTAGTAATCTATTGAGGACATTCATCCTCCATAAACATACCATCATCCTCCATAATACCTTTACCTTCTCCCGAAGAAGGGCAAACCTCCACAGAAACAACTTCACCTTCCTCCAACTGGTTATCATTCCTCTCACAATCTATAAGAGGCATTTGAGTGTTTGTATTAACTTCCCTACCCTTTTCTTGAATAATAGGGATAATGTTAGGAAGAGAATTACCATTCAATTCAACTAAATTTTTGTTAGTTATACAAAGACTGACGGACTCAACATTAGCAAGATTTTTAATATCAACATTAGGTAAAGTTTGAGCCATAATATTATCACATTCAGCAAAAGAGATAGAAGAAGTTTTAGCACCAACTCCCTGATCATGATTCAAAATAACAATATTGCTAATAATAGGTTGAATTTCATCAACCCCTAAAGGCAACAACTCCTGATCAAATTGGGATGGATTAGAGGTATTATCCTCTACAAGCATCAAATTAGGATTAGTAGCTTCCTGATGAATCACATTGGCAACCTCCCCCTTTGTTTGTTTCAAGGACTCCTCTTTTTAGAGATGGGGATGCTTCTGAAAACAATCATTAATACCATGACCATGCATCTTGTAAAAAGAATAAAATATAGTTAAATTTGTAAACTCAACTTTTTGGAAATAACCCTTCACCTTAGACCCAATCCATATCTCATTAGGATATTTCTTGAAAACATCCAATTCAACCAAAACTAGAGCCACAAAAGGCCTTGACACATAAGCAGTGGCTTGGTCCATCTGCAGTGGCCGACCAAAGATAGAAGCCAAACCGAATAGAATTTGATGATTAAAAAATGGAGTATCAAGTTAGGAAATGAAATCTAAACTGGAGCAATCAGAGACTCCTCCCTAACATCAAAATCAGGAGTCCATTTAAGAAAACACATTTGACAAGC